GTAAATTTACAGATGGACTGATTCATCTTCATTTTTTTACATAAATTGAGGCTTATAATTCTGTTGTTGAATTTGCTGCGTATTACTTTCAACCCAGCATTTAAAAACCCCTGGTGCCATTCTAGTTCTCCTGAGTTCTTTAGAAACATACTTGATTAAAGTGGCATCAATGCATGTTCTTGTCATACCCTTTTCTCAAATTTGCATTGGTTAATCTTTTTCAGGAAGTTGGAAGAGTGTTCGAAGTCAGGGGCAGCTCATAATCTCAATATCTATTACTGCCTTTTCTGGTTAATTCTGTCCTTTCAGGTGTCAGTGCTGCTCTGCTAGGCTTTGCTCAGACATCATTTTCAGGAACTGCTTTTTCCCTACAGTACGTGTGGTTTGTTATTCAAAGACTTGCTCTCCACCTGCCTAAAACAGTCTCTAGACCAGTTCTGACTACTATCTCCTTCCTGGGTGCTATTCTGGGGCATCTTACTCTCTCTTAGTCTGGAGTAGACAAGATATTAACCACAGAGGATTATGATAGAAGTAGTTAAAATGTGCATGCATGGAAAACTTCATAATTCTCTATTTAGTTTCTGATGCCTCAAGCTTCCTCTCTGCTCTTGGCAGGAAGATATTTTTCCATTGCTTCTCCAACCTTTAATGCCATGATTATGAGAAATTATATTCTCTAGCTTCTCTCACCTGTAAAATACTGGACACAGGGAAAAATTTGGGGGGCCTTCTATTATTGCCCTGTTATGTCCTCTACACTTGGACTTGAATGTGCTGCATTGTGCAGAAGGCCAGAGAGCCTCCATGTTTACTAATGATGAAGCAACTGAGGCCCAGGGGAATGATGACTTGCCTGGATCCATATACTTAAGGGGCAACAGAGATGGATCTGATCCCCTTGCGTTATTCTTAGGACCTTGTGATTTAAAAAAAGTAATCACTTGTTTTCTGTGTTTAAAAAGAACATCTTGGCTCTGCTGTTTATTAAGCATCTAACCTTGGCTAAGTCAATTCACCTAGCCATGCCTTGCTTTTCTCATCTGTAAAAATTTATTGATAACTATTTCATGAGGCTGTTTGAGGTTAAACAAGCTAATCATACAAAACTCACAGCACCTATAGCACCTGGCCTATAGAAACCACTGAAGTTCTCTGCTACGACGATGACCGTCGAAAGGGTGAAATCTTAGGAGTATAGTATATTCCACCAAATTCATGAAAATAAATTCTACATAGAAAATTTTAATTTTCCATTAACTTCAATTTTTACCATTGTTCTTCTAGTTCCAGTGGGTGAGATTATTTGTGTGAAAACATTAAGTCACAAAGAAACCAGCTGCACTAATGAGCTATGTAATTGGCCACCACTGATAAACATAGCTCTTTTCCAGCATTGGCTTTTCTTTTGTAGTGCCCACCTCACTTTTGGGCCTAGCTGCCATTGCAGGCTATTTTTCTTTTTTCTCTTTTTGGACCAGAAGCATATTGCTTAGAACCATCCATGTTTTCCCTCTTTTGATGATTGACATAATCTCAGTGCTTGGTAGTCAACGGCACTTCAGTATACGGCTTGCCAGTCTACCTCTCCCAATACTGCCGATGGAAAGTTATTTTTCTTCAGAACTCTGGCCAGTAGAGATTTTCTCAGGTATTAAGGTCAAATTTCATGTCATCTACCCATGGTGAAAGATATTTATTGCTACTAATATCGGTGCCTATTTGGAACAGTTTCTGCATTGATCATTGTAAGTTCTCTGTAAAACGGTCTTCTTTCCATAATGTGTATATGCATTTTTTTCCCTTTCCAATTCATCCTTGTGGCTATTTTTAATTTTAAAATTCCAGTAGTGTTTAAGTTAACTGTGCATTATTTGAAATTTATGATAAGATACTATCAGAAATAGAGGAAACAATATGTTATTTTTCAATACTTTAAGAACCTAGGAGTGTGGGGGCACCTGGGTGGCTCAGTTGTTAAGCATCTGCCTTTGGCTCAGGTCATGATCCCGGGGTCCTGGGATCGAGCCCCGCATCAGGCTCTCTGCTCTGTGGGAAGCCTGCTTCTCTCTCTCCCACTCCCCCTGCTTATGTTCCCTCTCTCACTGTGTCTCTCTCTGTCAAATAAATAAAATCTGTAAAAAAAAAAAAAAGAACCTAGGAGTGTAAGTTGTAAGATTTATTATGTAACACTTTTACTAGAGATATTTTCAAAATAATTTGTTTTATATATTACAGATATTTGTGCAAAAGAAAGGTAAATTAATGTCACGATCCTGAAGAATACGGTAAACTTTTGCAAGTGATTAATTGTGTGAAACTAGACACACATGTGAACATCTTTTCATGTTTGATCAGTTTTATTCCTGGTGGTAATAAAACTAAGTAAATGAAATGCAAAATCTTGACTGCAAGGTAACGGTTGAAGTTTTTACATGCATAAAGGAGTCAGGGTGAATTTATGGTCTTATAATGGCTGTCGGCTGCTAATATTGTATGTGTATTCTTAAAGTGATCTATAGCACCATGGCCAAAATACCATGGGGACAAAATCACAGTTAGTACGTGCTGTGTTTGTTGATTTACCTCCCTTGGACATGTAAAATATTAACTGAGACAACGTTGATACAGTTTGTCTGTTTTTGTTCAGGATTGGATGTGTGCTCATCATTAGTCTACTCTTTTCTGGAATGTATAAAATGGCAGTATCGATGTGAGACAGTAGTGTTAGAATTGCAGGATTTTTTTATATTCTGGCACCATGTATTTCACTTGAAAAGTTTTTTGGATTGAATGTATGATTCCAAAATGTTCAAAATAACTTTATTACTTGATTTAGTTCTGTAAGACTTTTTCCTGTACTCCTTTGAATCACAATTAGATGATTAGAGATAAATGTCATAGTTGCAACTCCTAGGTCTTATTTTCCAGAAGGTCTTAGATCCTGCAAGTATTTGTGATAGCAGAATGCTGTGTGACTTAACAGCCCCCTCGTGCTGCCACCTCTCTGTTCCTCCCTTTGCTACTGATCAGACCCTGTCCCCTCTTACCTCCTGAGTTTACCTATTTTAAAATCAGAGTCCTTGGTTTTCTCCTCTCTGTTCCTACCTCTAGGTAGGAAAACAGGCACACTTTAACTCACACTGCAGTTGTTGGGGGTAGTTGTTTACCTCAGTCTTAGGTGATAAAATCTACTTTTACAAACAGCATGAGAAAAAAGCAGACAACTTAATAGATGTCTGCTTTTAAGTAATTGAATATGTTAAAAAAGCAAACTCTGTAGAACTCTTCAGAATACATCACCTTTTACAAACATGGTTAGACTCAACAGATTTCATCTACAGTGCTGTAATATATCAAAAACCAACTCAATGGATATTAATAGAAATTAATTAAATTGAACTCCCTTTGTAAGAAGGCAATTTTGACAAGGAAAGTGTAATACCCTATAGATTTCAATTAGAAGGCCTGGGTATATTTGGAAAAAATACATTGCCTATGGCATGGCCACAGCCAAAAGACTGACTTCCCAAAGATTACGGGGGAGTTCTTTCTGTTCTGTATGGTCCAGTGGCAGCTACCTAGTATTTTGTCTATCTAGTATTCTCCTTATTTAGAATCTAGTCTGTTATACTTAGCTCACCTTTTATAGCACAATCACCTTGAATTGGTAAAGATTTCTGATTAAAGAATCTGATTGATGGGTGTGCTGTACTTTACTTGGTTATACAGTGACTGCTCATATCTTTGTGATCTTTCTGGGTAAGAGAATCAGGTAGTTAAAGTTTCCTAACCATTAGTGTTTCCATCTATATTAGAAGCAAAGAAATTCCTTTCATTTTACTTGGAATAGCTCTTCGGGTACTCTATAGAAAACTTAATTTTGAAATGTCAAAGGAGAACTCCTTTGGATTTTTTTAAGCCTATGACTTGACCAAGTCAGATTACTGAAAAGCTATGTACATAGGCCACATTTCAGTAGCCCTCTGCATAGATGCTTTAAAAGCATTACTTTTATTTAATAGTATGTCCTTGGCTTTTATTGGGGGGTGGCTAAAGAGGAGCCTGTGTGACAACCATTTCTATTAGTTTTTGTAAAATTGCAGTTGGATTTTGTGGGCTCTGTTAGTTCTTATCCTTTATAAAGATTCATATGATAAAGGCTTAGCACTTTATTCTAGAAGAATTATTCCCACTTTGAGAAGCTTTCTAAGAATCACAGAGCCAGACTGATGATAGCTTAGGTATTCTGCTAAAAAAACTTGCTAATGTTTTTCTTCATTCATCAGTTCATATTTTTGTTTCATTATTCTGGTTGACCTTTTGTATCCTCTCTGGAAGTAGGCAGTACGTGTGGAACTGAATGAGCTGAGTCATTTAATTCTGAGTTCTAGCATCAGAGTATTTAGCCACATATCAAATTGAGAAAATAATTCTTTTTCCTTAAACCTTACTTTCCTAAGCAGGTTTTTAAAATAGTACTTGGAAATCTCCTAAATCACTTCTCCTGTTCAGTGAACTCCTCGTTCAGCTCCAAACACAGTTCGAGTTGCTGCTGTGTGGAGCTCTTGCTCTACATGTCATCTCAAATCTTGGAGTTGAGGACATGCCTACAACTTTGGGAATGTCAGTTTGAATTTCTAATCCCATTTCAAAGAGTACCCTCAAGAAGATCTTTTTTCTTCCCCCAAAGTGTCCTTGGGATTACCTAAATTGAAGTTATAAAAAATTTCTTGAATATGCTTTTCAGATAACTGTGGCACTTTATTTTTGCATTGCAATTTATCTTCCGGGATAATTGATGAAATATGTATGCTTTGATTTACTGATTTACCTGAAACAGGATAAAAATGGCAAATGTTTATTGAAATAGAAGTAACATTTATTTTTGGTGTTCAAGCATTTCATTACCAGAGCCTATTTTTAATGAGTCAGCTTATTTTTTAAATTGTATTTTTAAAAAGCTTACATCATGAAACTTGTTGATTGTTGTACCATAGGATCCTGGCTACTGGGTAAAGATTCATCACTTAGAATACACAGATGGAGGAATCCTGGATCCAGATGATGTTTTGGCAGATGTCGTTGAAGACAAAGATAAGGTAGAAGACTGAAACTCCCCTTTGTTTTCCTCCATAGAGCTGCATGTTTCCTAGAGATTGAGATCCTTAACAAATTCATGTGTCAATTATTATTAAAAGATACCATCTGTTCAGGCTTCACCTGAACAGCCCATAAATCAAAGTTCTTCATCAGATGTTTGGGAAAAACTTTGTCAAGGTTTGGGAATCTGTTCATGGTGGCCTAATTAGCAGACACTTCATTCCCAAAAGTTCCTGATGTGTCTCAGTAAATTAGTGTCAGGCTCCGAGGCCGTTGGAGTTCTCATTGCCCTTGTTGGCTCTGGGGTTTCTTCCTGGCCCTTGCTAAATATTCAACTCAATGTCTGTGATTTGAGTGTGTTTCAAAATAGAGAATACAATGGGGAGAAAAATCTTCTGAGGAACTATGGTGAAGATTTTTTCTTTCTTTCCTTTTTTTTTTTAAGTACCTGGCAAACACCCGTCTTTCATGATGGTCTTTGTTTTCATTGCTAAAACACTAAATTGAATATTCCAAAAAGTTGGAACATATTTTGCCACCTACTTGGGAATAAACCCATTGCAAACATCTTATTTTAATAAGATTTTTCTTCTGATGATAAATTGGAAAAGGTGTGAGAGGATACTCCAGTTGCCACACACTGAATTTTTGCTGTTGAGACATTGCTTTATGACTGCTTTTGTGCTGGGCTCTTCTATCAGTGGTTTTTGTGTCTTCCCGAATTGAACCACTCCTCTCCCTGAGGGATCCTTGCTTCAGAGTTTCTTCTCCTGAGTATCCTTAGCGCTGTTTGTACTAGACTAATTTATGTGTGTATACGTGTTTCTCTCTCTTGTTTTTCAGCACTCTCAGGGAGGGGTGTGTGTGTGTGTGTGTGTGTGTGTGTGTGTGTGTGTGTGTGTGTGTGTGTGTGTATGTGTGTGTGTGTACCAACTGCACTGGATTATGAATAAGTGATTTATTGAACTCAGGTAAAATTTACATGTTTCCTTTTCTGTAAGATCTTTTTGGACTGTTCAAATTTACGTTAGTCTTTGCGGACATTCTGTCCATTTATTTTCCCTGTTTTCTGTTGGAACTCAACCCTGGTTTACTGATTTGCTTTGTTTTATAATTACTCATTCCGTAATGGACTTCTCTCCCTAAATAGATTGTAAGTTCTAGATGACATGGACCAGAAGATTTTTATTTCCTTTGTGTTCTTTGTATTAATACCTGGTACAGTCTTTTATCCACACTTGATTCTCAAAGAACACTTAACTGAATTGAGTGGAAAAGAAAGCTTTACTCTCTGTAGTTGACTCCTGTTGATACATAATTTTGATGCAGACTTCCTGTTGATGGCTTGGTCTCCCAGAAAATAATAATATATTATTTACATTGAACTTTAAGGGAAGACTTTCACTTCTGTATATCTGTTTCACTTTCTGCCTTTCTGCAGCCATCTTATTTTGAAATAGTCTAGGCATTTGGTCTGTTTGTTGATGAAGAAGGTCTTCCCTTCTCCGATTTCACTGATGTCCAGTGGATTAAAATTAAATGCTAGAAAGTAGCAAGTTTAAGAAGGGCCAGAAGAAAATGTCTTACCCCAGCCTTATCCAAGACCTAATTACAGGAAGGATGTTTCCATGAGCAGTGCTCAGGGAAATCATTTGTCCTGCAGAGCTCTTCCCTTTAGAGAATTCTTTTTACCTATCCTGACAGTGCCCTTTTAACTATAATCCATTTACTAGACACAGAAACAGCTTTTATTATATGTAATCTCGGTTTTAAAGGGACTTCACTACTGAATCAGGTGAAAAAATGAAGTAGTCAGTTAAAATCCTAGCAAAGGATTAGTGCTGTCTGGGCACAGGTTTGCCTATTTCCTTACTGTACCTTCACATGGAATACACTGAGCCTAATTGGTATTGTGCTGAACAGTAGATGAGAATTTACACTTTGGATATTGCCAGGAAAAAAATACATGCTCCCATTTTTCCTTTTTAAAAATAATGTAAGTGAAAAGGAGAGCATTGCTTTTTTTCTTGACATTGTCTCTGCAGTCTGAAGATTTTCTGATAGTTTATGTATCTAGTATGGAAAGAAGGTTCTGCCAGACTTTGACCTTACTTTTTTGTAAGTTTAGATTAAGAAGTAATTAGAACTGATACTTGTAAATGTTTAGTGATATGTCAGATTCACCCAAGATCCTTTGAGACAGTATCAAGCTTAGATAAAACTACAATTCACCTATTTTCAAATTGGCTATCTAGCAATCTCTTGCATTTCGAATATAGAATGCAAGCCCAAAGAGGCATGGATGGATGTATGTAATTCTTGGTCAACACCCACTTCACTTCCTAGAAAAACCTCTCACTACAGGTGAAAATGGCAGTTAGGAACCTTTGATAGCCTAGCCGCAAAGGAGGAAGCAGGAGAAACAAATTTAGAATAAGAAAGCAGTGCAGGCTGAGGCCATTTATTTAGTGTAAGGAAGAGCCATCCAGTACACTTCTGCAAAGACTGAAATGAGAGGCTGAATGGTATTCTACTTATAATCACAGAGTTTTCTAAATATGTGACTTTCAAAACTTCTGGTACCAGAGGTGGTTTGCCTTTGGTCTTATCTCAGTTATTCCTTGGGCCAGCACAGTGCGTGGTGCACATGGTGCCTCTCTGGGAGGTTTTTTGTTCTGTTTTAACTTGCTTTCCCAGTAGAGCCCTTTCACAGGGGAGCCGAGTTTTTAACCATGTTGCTGTATTTCTATCCTATGTTTTATCGAAATATTATTGGAGCAGCTTTGGAATTTTGCATCTTAGGATAACTGATATTTGTGTAAAATCTTATGCTGTGACTTAATTATCCAGTTATAACAGTCATTCTTAAAAATTCTCCAGTTTTATGTTTATGTTTTATGTTTTATGTTTCTGTGTGATGTTGGAAGTTCTTTGGCATAAATGCCTGAAAATTTACTGTTTTACGCTAATTTCTTTTCTCTGGCTGCCCAAGGCTACTGACGTAGTTCCCCCAATAACAACTACTTAACATTTTATGGAGCACTAACAGTGGCCGAAAATGTCTTTGTAAATTATATATTCTATTTTATTTCACAGTGACCCTGTGGGCAGGAGCTATTTATTATCCCTATTTTTAATTTCTGAGAATAGCCCCAGAAATTATAAGTGACTTGCTGAAGATCACACAGGGTGTAAGTGGAAGAATCAGACTAGAATTTAAATTTCCATACTCCTTTGTTCTTCTACAATGTGCCAAGCAGTGTGTTGGGTGTCTGAATCTGTAATTGCTAATTATGAAAACTCATGAATTATAAATAAGCATGAATTTGTTTTTACATAGCACCAGAAAAGGTAGGTACTAGAACTATGGAGTGTAACAAAGTTATTTTGAATTAATATATCACACATACATAAAGTCAACTTTCTTTGCCTGAAGCCTGTACCTGATTTACTGTAAAAGGGTTTTGCCTGTGTTGCTGTCCCTTGCATCCCTTTCTCCATGTCCCAGATTACTCCTTTGAGGGCTTGGTAGACTACACTTGTCTAACAGCTATATGCCATTTTGTAGGAAAATATATTCTGTATTTCAGTAACTACTTTTCAGAAAGATTGAAGAATGTGCACAAATTATATGCTGTGCTGTCTGCAGTAGGCAGAGTGATAGCCTCTAAAGATATCTAATCCTAATGCCCAGAACCAGTGAGATATATGTTACATGGGAAAAGGGTCTTTGCAAATGTGATTAAGGACGTTAAAATGGGGGGAGATTATTTTGGATTATTTGGGTGGGCCAGGTTTAATCACGAGGGTCCTTATAATTGAAAGAGGCAGGCAAGAGAGTCAGTATTAGATAAAATGTGAAAAGAGTTGACTGTCCAATGCTGACTTTAAAAAATAGAGCCAGAGGCACCTGGCTGGCTCAGTCAGTAAAGCATGTGACTCTTGATACTGGGGTTCTTAAGTTCAAGCCCCATGTTGGGTGTAGAGTTTACTTAAAAATAATAAAATCTTTAAAAAAAAAAAGGAGCCAAAGAATGCAGGCAGCTTCTAGAAGCTGGAAAAGAAAAGGAACAGATTCTCCTCTAGAGCTTCCATATGGAATACAGCCTTGCTGACCTCTTGCTTTTAGCCCAATGAGACCAATTTCGGACTTCTTACCTCTAGAATTACCAGGTAAATTTATATTGCTTGAAGCGACCATGTTTGTAGTAACTTGTTATTAACATCGTAGGACACTAATACAGTGTCTCTTATCCTATTTTAAACTTCTAAGATGATGATGGTTTTGACAAGTTGAGCTTTAAGATTTTGTAGGACAAGGAAAATGTCTAATGTTTCAGATTAGTTGACCACTCTGGGCATTCTTTCCAAAGTACATCACAAATTGAATCTCCATTCATGGGGTGAGCCCTTGCTCTTTAGGCCTTGAATGTTATGCTGTTTTGTGTAGAAATAATTTCAGGGTCACACTGGAGTTATGTAATATTGACTTACCAGTTTCTCATTGTAATATATGACTCTAAGAAGTCTACAGACTAACATCTAACAAAGCCCCTGCAAAGCTTAGCATTAGCTGATAATTTTTTTGAGTGTGAGAACCTGAGTATTGAACTTTTTAATGATTGTCTTCCTTGTTATTATTTCTTGTTTTTAGAAGGTGATTGCAATGTAATACTGAAATGCAGCAATGTATAACTCGTTATGTAAATCGAATCGCTGCCATGGTTTTACAAAAAATAAATACATATACAAAAGTAAAATTCTATTATGTGGTAAGGTACAATGAAAGAATGTTTCTATCTTTGACTAAATTTTAACTATCATAGGGGTTAATTTTGGAGAAATGACAAAATCTCCTGGATTCTAGTGATGGTAGGTTGGCCTCAGGGATCACACATGATATCTGGGACTCAAATATTCAAGTTTCATTTCAGTTTCATCCTTTACTAGCTATGAGTCCTTGGGTAAGTTTCATGTCTATTAGCCTTAATTTGCCCAT